AAAAATAAATCAAAATATTTGTAACACAATACGACCACTCTAAAAATAAATCAAAATATTTGTAACAACATTCACCATGTGCAACTATTTTTAGTTTCAATACAATACATCAAATGGTGACCAGAATAAAAGGATGGTAAAGAAATCTCAACTGCCTGTTGCTTTCCCATTTCTTTGAAAAGTTAAGTTAATAAATTCTGTTCAGAAGAAACAATTTGATATTTTGTGCTATCATTACAATAAAGGTAAATCCTATAACTAAGGCTAATGATCATAGTAAATATACTATTTTGCTTTTCTCCAAAGATTGCAGATTGTACATGTTATTTTATGGTTCACTCAAGTTTTCTCACACACTTTAATGAGATACAAATGAGATCTCAAAATAACAATAATAAGTTATCAATATTCTACACTCAGTTGGTGTCTTTTAATTCCTCTAACAAGCTGAAGTACAACAGATTATCTTTTACCACCAGTATACAGCCAGGTGTTCCTGCACTTCCATACAGTTTGACAAGGCTCTCTACTGATTTTAGCTAAATTATTCGATTTTGATAATAAAACCCCTTATACTTTCAATGGACTGGACAAAACTATTACACAAATCTAGCAGGTTAAGGGTTCACAATTATGTTACATAACTCGGACCTTACATCTAGTTGTTGTTTAGTAGGTTCAGGAGATCTGTCTGGTACCTCCAAACCTGGTGGATCATCAAAGGGATCATCTAATATGATTGTGTGATAAATTCTGAAATAAATGGACACACTCATTAAAAAAGATATGTTTGTAAAACATGTATGCCCCCTATCGGCAGCCAATTAGTCATGTGATCAGGTTATTATGCATGACTTCTGACCTAGTGAACAAACAATTAATAAGGGTTATCTAGTATCAACTGGTCATGACTAGTCCACAAGGTAATAATTATTGTGACCCCATAGGTTTGTGTGCAGCAATTTAAAGTTATTACAAATCTTACCAAATAATATATGCATAATTTTATGAATCATGACAGCGAAAGTTGTTATATTACATAAGACCTTCAAATGTGTATACCAAAAGCATTTTTAGTTTAATATAGAAATATCAACCAAGGCAACTTGAGTTGTTGAGTTATTGGTAGTAAAAACCGTCATTAAGTACAAGGTCAATGTGACCTTGACCTTGGACCCCTTGACCCCAAAATCAATACGGGTCATCTGCTTGGCAATGACCAATCATCATACAAAGTTTGGAAGTTTCTAGGCCTAAGCGTTCTTTAGTTATTAATCGGAAACCGTTTTTTACCTACAAGGTCAATGTGACCTTTGACCCTTTGACCCAAAAATCAATAGGGGTCATCTGCTGGTCATGACCAATCACCATACCAAGTTTGAAGAACCTAGGCCTAAGCGTTCTTTAGTTATTGATCAGAAACCGTTTTTACTTACAAGGTCAATGTGACCTTGACCTTTGACCCCTTGACCCAAAACTCAATAGGGGTCATCTGCTGGTCAGGACCAATCATCATACAAAGTTTGAAGTTCCTAGGCCTAAGCGTTTTTTTAGATAATTGATCGAAAACCGATTTTACCTACAAGGTCAATGTGACCTTGACCTTTGACCCCTTGACCCCAAAATCAATAGGGGTCATCTGCTGGTCATGACCAATCACCATACCAAGTTTGAAGTTCCTAGGCCTAGGGGTTCTTAAGTTATTGATCGGAAACCGTTTTTACCTAAGAGGTCAATGTGACCTTGACCTTTGACCCCTTGACCCCAAAATCGATAGGGGACATCTACTGATCATGACCAATCACCATATCAAGTTTGAAGTCCCTAGGCCTAGGGGTTCTTTAGTTATTGATCGGAAACCGTTTTTACCTACAAGGTCAATGTGACCTTGACCTTTGACCCCTTGACCCCAAAATCAATAGGGGTCATGTACTGATCATGAACAATCACCATACCAAGTTTGAAGTTCCTAGGCCTTTAGGTTCTTTAGTTATTGATCGGAAACCGTTTTTGCTTACAAGGTCAATGTGCCCTTGACCCCTTGACCCCAAAATCAATAGAGATCATCTACTGGTCATGACCAATCACCATACCAAGTTTGAAGTTCCTAGGCCTAAGGGTTCTTTAGTTATCACTCAGAAACCATTTGGTCTACGGACCGACGGACCAACGGATCGACAAGTGCAAAGCAATATACCCCCTCTTCTTCGAAGTGGGGGCATAATAACACCTTAAAGATCCTGTAACACATTTTGTTTATTGTTTTATATCATAAATATAATGCTTAAATGAAGATTTATCAATATTGTAAGTTCCAAAAAGCATTATTTGTAAAGATATTACCTAATTTACATTTCATGTAAATAAAGGGAGGTAATTAGAAATTTATTTTATATAAAGTATAAGTCAATTTTTACAACAAGAAATGAATGCATATATTTTAATGATTACATATAAATGTGGACAAATATTTGCAATACATATTTTACATGTCTTTAATGTTTGAAAATTGTTTCATAAGCATAATTATATACATATATAAAATTTTACGTAAGTGTGGTAACAACCTTAATTACAACATACAGGATCTAAAATAAAATATACTTAACTTAATACAGAATAAGACTAAGACAAAATGATTTTGTAAATAATAAATATTCCTTAAATTACAAGAATGATGGCTTCATGCCAGTTAATCACTTAAAAATAAACTACATTAAACTACTACTATTCCTCCAATAGTTGAGCTAAAATTGTATTCATTTCCGTGACTAACACAAATAAATAACATGTATGTTGATTTCTATCTCATAAAGCATACACTTCAAAGAAAATAGTAAATGTCACAAAAAATCTAAGAATGTCATACCTGATGTCCTTGTAAGGTCTATGTTCCTTGTCACAAAATGCCTCATTTAGTTTTTTGAGGACATCAAAGCCTTCAGCAACCTCACCAAACACTGTGTGTGTGTTATCCAGATAGTCTAGATTTTCTCCTAGAGTGATGAAAAACTGAGAAGAAAAACACACGTAGTTCATGACACAATTTAAAAGGTAAGGAAAGAGATAAATGATAAATGTATCATATTTGATGGTTTTATTTCTCTCCAAATATATATTTTGGACAGAGATTTGCAAATAACATTATTGAGTTAACACTTTAATAGCTTTAAAAAGTAACATTTTTAATAGCTACACATTTGCAACAACTACTAGTTAGTAAAATTAAGAATCTTTTTCAGTTCCTGCAACCTCAACAATCGTTTTACTATGTATAGACATAATTATGTCTTTTTGTTGCCAAACTAAACATGTTTTGTTTGAAATATAATGCCATAAACTGACATGATGGTACCTCATTAAGCCATATTACAATGACTCAATAGCAACCATCCCTTATCTACATAGTATCTTATCTTTTTATCTGAAATTCTATAAAATTTATCATACTAACCAAAGGGCAAGCCCATAATACCTTAGAAAGGATTTTTATTTTTTCATTTCTCAAAAGTCTTTTTTTTAGCATTTAAGTTCTGTTAAAGTTTCTAGAAAATTACTCATTGGCTAATAACCTTAATCATGTCTGGCTAATTGACATCTAGTACAATTAAAGTGATTGAGCATTTTGTATGGCAGTCAAAGTACTACTTTGTTTACACATTGCTAACTTTATGACAAATAATTTCACGATCACCACAATTTATTTCAGATGATATGAATCTGACATGCTCTAAAATCATTGGTTAAATTTTATCAAACTCATGCTTGTCCTTTCTAAAGAAGAAGAAATTTATTTATTTCCGAGGCGTTTATTAGGTTATTTACTTTGATAAATTTTCAATATAATACTACTTTTGACAAGATGATAATTAACTGCAATAACAGGCGCATTGGCTCATGTATGTTTGTCTGTATATAATTGATAATTTAACTGTAACCATGCTAACTTGTTCACACAAGTCACATAAATATATAAATTACATATCTTCTTAATTAACCAATTGCAAGTTATATCAGCCGGAAAGACTGGATATAATAAGTGTGTGTGTATTATCTCGACTAACCTGTGAGCCATGCATGTTATGTCCATTGTTTACCATAGATACTGTACCAACTTTCCTGTGTTTGAGGCGAGGTGTTATTTCCATATCAAAATATTTTGCTTGCTCCCCATACACAATCCTATAACAAAACAATGAACAGCAGAATTGTAGCAGCAAATTAGCATTCATGTTGTAGAAATATATCTTCAAAACAAACTATATCACAGATCTTTTTTGACATAAAATTAGTTATATGTTGTAGAAACAGGCATGATTCAACAAAAACATAGATTACATTCTTACTTCGAAGCTCATCAAACTTTAGATAATTAACTTTAGTTTAGTATTTTTTATCAACTTAAAGATCCTGTATGTTTTGTGATTGATATTGTTACTGTATGTATCATTTTTTTTTTTTTTTTTTTTAATGCGTTTATTTAAGGTCGCCGCCGGAAAGCCCATATGGGCGACCGTACACTCAAGTCGGGCCATCCTAGAGCGTCCCGCCGAGATTTTTTCGTCGATTTTTTCCAGCTTTATTGGTGGAGGAAGACCCCAAGTGCCCCTTCGGGCATTATTTCAGGCACGAGCGGGCACCTGGGTAGAACCACCGACCTTCCGTAAGCCAGCTGGATGGCTTCCTCACATGAAAGATTTCGACCCGAGTGAGGATCGAACCTACAGCGGTGAGGGACCTGTGATCTCAAGTCAATGACCTTAACCACTCGGCCACGGAGGCCCCACATGTATGTATCGTGTGTGTATTTGCGTTTATTTATACTCGCCACCGGTTGCCCATATGGGCGAGTCCTCCAGAAGAGTATTAGTCATTTTAGATTTTTGGAGGATAGTGCAATTACAGATACAGAAAGATGCCCCAATTCCAGAAGCTTCTCCTGGTTCTTTAGCGTGCCAAGTGTTTAAGCACCCATAAGTGTTTAAGCACCCATACACGGGACCTCGATTTAAAGTCTCATCCGAAAGACTGATTAGTAATTTTAGTTGGCCAGCCCGGGAATCGAACCCACAATGTCGAGACTTGTCGCTCTAACCGATTGAGCTATGCGGGCTGGCATATGTATGTATCACACACTTGCAAAATATTATATATGTATATAATTATGCAAATAAAACAATTTTCAAACATCCAAGAATATGTAAAATGTGTACTGCAAATATTTGTGCACATTATATTTAATCAATAAGTTACATGCATTCATTTCTTATTGGAAAATTTGACTTGGAATTTATAGAAAATAAATTTCTAATTACCTCCCTTTATTTACGCAAAATGTTAAATTGGGTAATATCTTTATAAATAATGCTTATTTGAACTTACAAGATTTTGAGCATCATATTTATGAAATAAAACCATGAAAAAAATGTGTTACAGAATCTTTAAGGTATTAAAAAAACTAAATTTTTACATTTGAAATTTGTCTCATACATGATAAAGAAAAATTTAAAACAGATGGCAAAACTTTATTTTACCCATGATAATTCAATATGGGAAATTTTTTTACTAATGAAACATTATGTGAATTGGGAAAATAGTAAATTGGTTTGAATTATTAAAGACAATATTTTTAGAAAAATAAAATAAGAATTTCCCCATTTTTAAGTAAGATAACTTAAATTTCTAAAGTTTCTCTCCAAGGGGAGGGGTAGCAGACTAGTGGTTTAGTGTCTGCCTCTCAAACCAGAGAGATTGTAGGTTAGAGCCATACTGGGGTCATAATCATGTTTTATTATCTGACATCAGTTGTGGTCAGTTCAAGGTAACATCCTCAATGATGGTTCAAATATGTTACAAGCTACATTCACAGTTTAGCTTAAATAATGTTTAAACCGGGTTACTCAAACAAAATTTATAGTACCATATTATGGCATAGCACAATTAACAATCTCTGCATAATCTCTTAAAATACAGGCATTTACAGACTGATATATGACATATATGTGATATAGCCAGTGATTTTTTCCTGTATTTTACACCCAAATAAGGACTGCCTTCCCTAGCCCAAAATAGGTATAATTTCCGCCAAAGATAGGTATATTTTCCCTAAAATGCCTTGTGCATATTCTTTACCAGAACCATAACTTAACAGCAGCTCACTAATATCAGCTAGCTAATACAGTAAATTGAATTGACTAAGACTAAAAACTGTCCCTATAGATAGCCTATGCTATGTACCATGTTTAATTGAAACAAAATTGATAATTTTATAAAAATGTGCGAGTAAATTAGATTCTCATTTTTCTGATTTATTGTGCCATATATTCCCTTTCACAAAGCCACAGGTTGTTTTGAAAATTGAAATAAAACTCCCTGATAGCAGTATTATATACATATTTTGACTTACCCATACACAGACTCTCCTTCCCGCCCACTACCTGTTGGGTCTCCAGTTTGAGCCACCAAGTTTCTCTGAGAATACACAATGTTTATGTCATACATTCGTATATTGAAAATTAAAAAATTCTTGAAATGTTTTAGCAATTCATAAAACAGACTCCAATAATTTCCAAGTCAGTCTTATTGAAAATGTCATAAATTAACTTGTTTCCTGATTAACTGTTATGAATCAGATTATTAAAACAGGTTAAAATATTTGCAGTTTATAAAATATTGACATACTAACATACAATTACAATCTAATATACTATGGTTACACACCACTATAACTTCTAAATATTGCATAAACAAGATTTACCTGCACTGAATGAAAAAGACAGAAGTTGTAGTATTTTATTTTGCATAACTTCAGGAAATTCTTGCAACCTGAAAAATAAAATAAAAATCATTGAAACAAGCAAATTCGTTGAATTTATATCCCCCGCAGAGTACTGGTTATTACTAACACAACAACAGAAGACATAAGGCTTTATTTATATATTTATCATGGCATAAACAGTAATAATCTTTAAACTTGATAAATATTCAGGGCAATAACAATGCCATATCTCTGTGTTAAATAGTAATATCTGGAAATGCCAATGAGATGTATGCATACTGCATAACTAATCAAGGGCCATAAATCTGAGTTATAAGTGTCTGACCGGAACAAGGCAACTATATGCACATCTCCTCTTCGTATCCCATAAAGTTTCATTGAATTCCAGCCAGTAGTTACAGAGAAGTAGCACGGAAACGATTATTGCTCTGGTTGTATACTGCATAAGTTATCAAGGGCCATAACACAAAGTTAAAATGTCTGACCCAAACAAGGCGACGATATGTGCATCTCCTCTTGGTATTAAAGGTTCCCATAAAGTTTCATTGAATTCCAGCCAGTAGTTACAGAGAAGTAGCACAGAAACAATTATTGCTCTGGTTGTAAACTGCATAGGTTATCAAGGGCCATAACTCTAAGTTAAAATGTCTGACCCAAACAAGGCGATGATATGTGCATCTCCTCCTGGTATTGAAGGTTCCAATAAAGTTTCATTGAATTCCAGCCAGTAGTTGCAGAGAAGTAGCCCAGAAACAAATATTTTTCTATATGCATACTGCATAACTAATCAAGGGCCATAACTCTGAGTTAAAAAGTGCGACCCCAACAAGGCAACGATATGCGCATCTTCTCTTGGTATTGAAGGTTCCCATAAAGTTTTGTTGAATTCCAACCAGTAGTTGCAGAGAAGTAGCACGGAAACGATTATTGCTCTGGTGCATACTGCATAACTAATCAAGCCATAACTCTGAGTTAAAGTGTCTGACCCAAACAAGGTGACGACATGCGCATCTCCTCTTGGTATTGAAGGTTCTCATAAAGTTTTGTTGAATTCCAGCCAGTAGTTGCAGAGAAGTAGCGCAGAAATGATTTTTGCTCTTTATGCATACTGCATAACTAATCAAGGGCCATAACTCTAAATTAAAGTGTCTGACCCAAACAAGCCGACAATATGCGCATCTCCTCTTGATATTGAAGGTTCCCATAAAGTTTCGTTGAATTCCAGCCAGTAGTTGCAGAGAACTACTCCGGAAATGAAATTTGGACGGACGGATGGACGGACGGACAGACAACGCCAAAACTATATCCCCCTCCCGATTCCATCGGCGGGGGATAATAAAATAAATTAAACAGACACTATCCACAAGATCATTATTTCACTGTTTTATAAAATCAACTTCATTTCTTTATAACTAAAGCATGCTATATATCTTTTAATGATAATTCTGATTCAAGAATTTTAGGAGACAACATGTTTTTTCCATTCAAATGCATTGGTAATGTCATGTATAGTGATTGGTTGTATATTTCAGTACATAATGAATTATAAATGGATTATGCAAAAACCTTAAGAGTCATAATAAATTTCAGTCTGACGGTGATCTAATGATTTGCCCCATTGATGATATGCCCCACTTTAGTGATGATTTGCTTCACCTTATATTAAACAGTTTTTAATCCATCTGGTTTTGAAAATATTAATGGTTTGGGAATTTTTGTATTCATTTGGAATATTTTTTATATAGACAGTGATTTTTTTTCCATTTTTCGAAACAACCTGTGGCTTTCTGAAGAGAAAAATATAGCGCGATAAATCAGAAATAGGGAAAATCAAATTCTAACAACTGAGAATGGAATTTACCCACACATTTAATAAAATTTTCAATTTCAATTCAATTTAACATGCATGGAACAAATCAGAGGCTATAGGGACTGCTTTCTGTCTTCTAGATGATATAATAAGTTATATGCTGTTAAGTCATGGTTCTGATGAAAAAGTGCACAGGGCATTTCAGGGGAAAAATTGGCTTTTTTAGGAAAAAATAAACCTATTTTGAGCTAGGGGAAACAGCCTTTATTCGGCTGTAACATACAGGAAAAAAATCACTGATAGATAACATTTGATTTAGAGATAGAATAAGAACAGTATCAGTTTAACATTGAATAACAATTACTAATATCATTTGCATATTTAATTATATGAATTTTCCTTATACCCTCCATAATATCCAATTTGAATCAACCCTGGAGAAGCAAAATACCAAAATTGGACTTCCAGAGTTCAACTGGGAGCTGGGGCACTTAGAAAAAAGATAATTAAGAAATATGATCAGAAATAAATTGATAATAATACTTAGTGCATTTCTTAGCCTGATTTTTGTGACACAGCATTGTAATGCTTTTTAATTTCGGGTCGTTTTCCAAAATTAGAATAATTATTCTGGAAAAAACAGAGAGGGTGCATGATCTGAAAGTCCTTATTTGTTTTTTTGATTGGGTTTTATGTCACACCGACACAGTATAGGTCATTTGGCGACGTTCCAGCTTTACTGGTGGAGGAAGACTTCAGGTGCCCTTCTGTGCAATAATTCAGGCACGAACGGACACCTGAGTAGAACCACCGACGTTCCGTAAGCTAGCTGGACTAAGCTTCCTCACATGAAAGAATCCAAAGTCCCTGTTGGACTCGGCCGGGGACGCCCCCTGAAAGTCCTTAAATTTTAACTATGTAACATCAATTTTTAGAACTAAAGGCATTAATGTTCAGAGAGTTACCACCATTTATGATCCCAAAAACATTAACATCCAGTGCTTTCAGCACTTTGATTAGATATAAGGAAAACATTACAATTTAGGAATATTTAAGGCATATAAATGCAACCAACATTCAAGGTTATTAAAAACAAATAACAAATCATTTCATCTTACAATCTAGTATACAAAATTAATGTTTTTCAAATATCTTGAGCATTTTTAACAAACAAACGCTGAGGTATCTAAGTAAATATAAGGTACTTGAATTCTGGCATGAAGATACTTGGAAAATGAAGGAAACAGTAAAGTTTGTAATAAAACCAGTTATTCAAATGAAATTCCTTCCATGTTATCTTTATTAAACTTGCCACCTTTTTTAATTCCTTTAAATTACACTTTTCAATTAATTTTAGTAAGGGCTTTGGCAAAGAAAACAGAAAAACAAAGACAGTTAATTGTTTTGTACTGCATAAAGCACCTATTTGCTTCTACATTCTACTTGTGACTGTTTTTTATAAATTAATCAAACTAATCAAGTATGCCACTTTAACCTTCCAGTCATCCAAGTATGTTAACTGATAAAGATCTCTAACAAGCCGAAAGAGATTAACAGCTAGTTGTTTTGATTAAGGAGTATACTATTATCACCAATAAAGCACAAAACTGTCATAAAAATATTCCAGTCCAGCTAGTATATTAGATCATGTTAACAAGAGGGCCATGATGGCCCTGAGGTCGCTCACCTGTATATAGGCCCCAAGAGCGGGGCCAGTTTAAACCCCAGGGCTTTTATTTGAACAAACTTGGAAGACACCCATTAGAAGATGTTTCATGATGTTAAGTTTTTACTACACACATATAATGAAAAACAATGACCTCCCCCCTCCCCCTTTGGCAGGGCCAATTTTAACCCAAGGGCTTTTATTTGAACAAACTTGGTAGACACCCACAAAAAGATGTTTCCTGCAATCTAACCTCTAGCTCATTGGGTTTTTTAAAAGAAGATTTTTTAAGTTTTTACTATACACATATAGTTAAAAACAATGACACCTCTGGGGCAGGGCCAGTTTTAGCCCAAGGGCTGTTATTTGAACAAACTTTGTAGACACTTACTAGAAGATGTTTCATGCTTAATATCTAAACTCTAGCTATTTGGGGTTTTTTTAAAGAAGATTTTTTAGTTTTTGCCATACACATATAAGGAAAATCAATGACCCCCAGGGCGGGGCCAATTTTGACCCCAGGGCTTTTATTTGAACAAACTTGGTAGACATCCATTAGAAGATGTTTCATGCTAAATATCTTAGCTCTAGCTCTTTTGGTTCTTTAAAAGAAGATTTTTTCAGTTTTTACTATATGCATATAGGGAAAGTCAATGACCCCCTGGGGCGGGGCCAATTTTGACCCCAGGGCTTTTATTTGAACAAACTTGGTAGACACCCATTAGAAGATGTTTCATGCTAAATATCTTAGCTCTAGCTCTATGGGTTCTTTAAAAGAAGGTTTTTTAAGTTTTTACTATATGCATATAAGGAAAGTCAATGACCCCCAAGGCGGGGCCAATTTTGACCCCAGGGCTTTTATTTGAACAAATTTTGTAGACACTTACTAGAAGATGTTTCATGCTAAATATCTAAGCTCTAGCTCTTTGGGTTTTTTAGAAGAAGATATTTTAAGTTTTTTCTTTTGGTTGCCATGGCAACCAGAGTTCTCCATGGAATTAAATTCTTTGAACAATTTTCAAAGGTGACCACCAAAGGAACATTCCTGTGAAGTTTGGATGAAATTGGCTTAGTGGTTTATGAGGAGATGTCATTTAAAGTAAAAGTTTACGGACGCCGGACGGTCGACGGTCGACGGACGAAAAGCGATCACAAAAGCTCACCCTGTCACTTTGTGACAGGTGAGCTAAAAAGGCGATGAAAAATGGACTAAAAGGTTTTTCTGAAACATTATACAATATGTAGGGCAAGCTTAATTATCAAAGTTTAATTTAGCATCTCAAGCTTCCCATTTAAAGGTAAAAATGAACATTTTTCACATGAGTTCTCCAAGTAAATAGAAATGTTTTCCACAGAAATCCGTAATGTTTTCCAGGAACTCCGTGACAGTTATCATAAGAACTCCAAACAAGTTATCATAAGAACTCCATCCTTCGTGTAACACTTCCTCCCCCGTGATGCCGGTCATATGGAAAATGAATATCATTTTGTATTAATATGTTCTTAATTCCAGGATTTAAGAATATGATCAAAATATATAAAGAGATATTATATGTGGCCAACTGAACAGAAATTTGTTAACCTCATGTGTGCAAAATCAATAATTTTTAAATTAGCAAAATATATACACTATGCAAACTTGCGAAATAACTAGTCATCTTTAATGCTGATACATATATTATACATGCATTTTTCTCTTCTGTAAACCATGTCTTTGTATTGAAAATTGTATTGCTATGGAACATGTTGTTTTAATGCAATGAAATATTTGTAGTTGTAGTTGTATAATGTATCTTTGAGCTGAGTGGAGGCGGGTGTGGGATGCAGAATTTTCCATGCCACCGACTGGAAGAACTTACCTTTTTCAGCAATTGCAAATAATATATTTGGCACGGTTCAGAAGTGTTCACTTTATAGGACAGAGGGTGTGTAGGCGGCCGGATAGCTCAGTCGGTAGAGCCGTGAGTAGTATTCCCAGGGTTCTGGGTTCCAGTCATGGTCAGGCTGCACATTTTTCTCACCCTGTGACATTTGGCGCCAAACGTGGGGCTCGTGACTGGATATAGCTCAGAATTTAATTTACACTGCTCTGTAACTCTGTGAAATTCAAGGACGAATTTCAATATAGCAGGGGGTATGTCACGGTTCAGAACTGTTCACTTAATAAGACAGAGGGTGTGTAAGCGCCCGGATAGCTCAGTCGGTAGAGCAGCAGAAGGGTATTCCAAGGTTCCCGGGTTTGAGTCACGGTCAGGCTGCACATTTTTCTCACCCTGTGACATATTCCTTATTAAAAAGTTTTGAAGGAAAATGATTGAGAACATGGTGTCATAATGATTACTGAACTGGGGTTAATCATTACTAGTTTTAATAATGATCATGTATCTATCTATCTTCTGTTCATGTCAAACCCCTCGTGGGGAAGTAGACATGTCTGCGCATCATTTAAAAGATGATAAAAGAATATTTGAAAATGTTAAAAACAGGGGCTGGAAAACTAGGGTGAGACATGTTAGATGCAAGCTATGGCTGCACTTAACTGCTCTAGGGTAGAGAGTAGGGCAACTGCAGGGGGAAGATGGTTCCAGTGGTATACCGTCCTTGGAAAGAATGAGAACATCTATCTACATCTACATTATACTGCTTAACAATCAATTTTGACTATGACTAGCAGGCGCGTTGTCAGGGAACTGTTAATAAAAGAAATTATTTATATGCAAATTAAAAAGTTAAAAGAATAAAAGTACTACAAGACTATTAAATTAAAAGACATAGTGTGCAATTTAGAATTTATAGAATGGGTCAAGCCTCTCAGTAAAGATGTTTAAACTGGTGCTAGACTGAACACTTATAGGAAGGCTATTCCAAAGACGTATGCTCCTAGGAAAGAAAAATTTTGATGATATTGTGTCCTTGAGTAGGGTATCAGGTAGTTCAGATTTCTTGTTTGAGTAAGGTGTTGGTGGTCAACAAACACAATGTTGTTTTGGATTTTATACAAGTAGGTTACAGCACTGATGTTTCGACACTGTTCAAGGGTTTGCCAATTTAGATCATTTATCATTTTTGAGACACTACTTGTATAGTCATAATCATTAAAAATGTATCTAGCAGCTGATCTTTGTACTTGCTCTATTTTATAAATTAAATATTTCTGCCAAGGATGCCAAACTATGGAGCATTATCAACCTGAGGTCCAACATAGGTCTTATATGCAGTTTCCTTTATCTTTTTATTTGGAGTTTTAACATTTCTTCTAATCAATCTGAGGGAGTTATTTGTTTTAGATGTTATGTTGTTTATATGTTTGGTCCATGAAAAGTCTTGACTAATAGTGACTCCTAAGTAATTCGCTTCTTGAGTTGAGTTTAGTTGGATGTTATGGAGGGTATAAGGAAATATTACAGGGTTTCTTTTTCTTGTTATCCTGAGAACTTCACATTTGTCAGGGTTAAACTCCATGGACCAGTCTTTTTCCCATGTTTCTAAGGCATGAAGGTCATCTTGGAGGGTTTGGGCATCTTGTTTAGATCTGATGGTAAGGTAGACAACAGTATCATCTGCAAAGAGTCTAACCTTACCTTTGACACTATCTGGGAGGTCATTTATGTAAGAAAGGAAAAGGCAGGGACCTAATACCGAGCCTTGGGGGACACCTGAGAGGACTTGTAGTATTCCTGATTTTTGACCTTCAACTACAACTTGCTGGGAGCGTGACTTTAGGAAGGAATGGACCCAATTTGTAACCTCATAGCTTATACCCAATCTTTCCAGTTTACTCACAAGTTTGTGATGGTCCACCTTATCAAATGCCTTACTGAAATCCATGACTATGACATCAGTTTGTTGGCCACTTTCAAGATTGTCATGAATTTCCTGGGAGAAGCTTACTAGCTGGGACTCACAACTCCGTTTTGACCTGAAGCCATGTTGATAGGGGCTAAGGATGTTGTGTTTATCATAAAAGGACATAATATTGGACACTAAGATGTGCTCCATCAATTTGGACGCTATACATGTGAGGGAATAGTCTGAAGTTGGTGAATAACCTATAACTAATTACAGTCAACCCGGCCCCAAGTTTACCCAGCCCCAAGTCAACCCGGCCTCAAATTTGGTCAACCCGGCCCTAAAATTGGTCAATCCGGCCCCACAGAATTTTTATTTGGTCAATGCGGCCCCAAAATTGGTCAGTGCGGCCCCAAAATCGGTCATTCCGGCCCCAATATATATATTTCAAAGAAAACTATTTAAGTAATTTTGTTGTATGATGGAATAAAAATGATTTATTATTGATGGAAGATTATTACTGTAACTATATAGAACAATAAAAAAACATGATCAGGCGTAAAAGTGTCCGTAAATTTTATTGCGCCGATACCCCGATTAAGACTTTAATACGCATTAGTGATAATGAATAATTATATAACATCAACAATTAAATGTACATCAACATTAATTCAGATGTGATAATCAAACAGTTTAAAGCAAACAATTAACAAAAAGGTATAGCTGTGAAAACAAATCCTTTAAATAAGATGGTAGTATCTTTCATGTCTTTATTTGATGTAAATTAAAGATGGTTTCCTGAGTGTTAATGCGATAATTAGGAAGAAATGCATAGAATTTTGAGTCAAAAGGTTTGTATAAATTATGTTTCCAACAATCTTTTTTTCAGTTCATTTGAATGTTTAACTTATTTTCAAAGAATATTTACTGTGTAAAAATGTATTGGAATTTTACTATGTTTGAAAAATTGATAGTGTTTTCTGTTTAATCACTTTATGTCATTATGACTATAAATGTATTGATTGTGTTAATATTTCAGATACTGTCCATTGTTTTGCGAGAATATTATCAAGTAGAAATGAAATTACTCTTTCTGATTTAAGTAAATTTACCAGCATTATTATGTCTAAACCGCCCTATTGAAGATTGTGTAGACCAATACTAGGTAGAAGAGAGGCAGAAGAAGACGACTAGTGAATTCGTGTTTGTATGTGATGAACATTGTAGGGGTGTGAGACGAACATTGTAGAACTATACATTGAACATTGTAGAAAGTTCTATGCATTGAACATTGTATAACTATGCATTTGACATTGTAAAAACAGTAAATTATGCATGTGTTGCTTGTTTGTTACTATTGAAAGTTTTTATAAATTATATAAAATGAATAATAATAGATATCATCGTTAAACATTTGTTGTTGTTTTTTGTGTTAACATTTTGAAGCAAAATAAATAATAAAAAATTGGGCCGGGTTGACCAGAAATAACATTGGTTTAAGGCTGTGTTGACCAATTTGGGGCCGGGCTTACTTTGGGCCGGGCTGACTTGGGGCCGGGTTGACTTGTACCGACCTATAACATAACAGTTAAAATGATCGGTTTCTGTTCTAAATGTAAGATACAGACAAATATTTCATGTCACAAATATACCGAAAGACACAATCCTTCAAATACCATGCAAAAAACTTCGAATAAACATTAAAAAAATTCAGGCACTCATCCGAAAAATATATACATCCGAATATAGTTTATCGGAAGGTAATCAAATATTCACTAAACAGAACAATAATTAAATGTAACAACTTCTAAAGTATTTAGTTCTGCAGAATATACTAACATTTTGGCCGTTCTTCTGTTAGTAGATCGATGGTTATGTCGCCAATTGATGTTTCTAGTAAAACAGCCATTGGTAGCACTCCACAGTTAATTTCAAGTTCCTGCCGTCAATGTCCTACAAGCAATACGTCTAATAATTCTGATACCAAACTACACAACCTGGAAAAAGAAAACACATTTTGTTGAGAACATATATGACATAAGATTGCAAATCTACAAAGAAATTATGCCATCTGCAATAGGCAGGCAGTCAAAAAATTTGCCATTCATTCCATTGAAGCCCAAAATCTACAGTGGCCCGAGACCCAAAACAACACATTTCGACCCTCTGGCAAAAAATATCTGCAAATATACAGGCTAAAGGAACACTGTCTCTGCTTTAGCAACTCCCTATACATGCAAAATATCACAAAGAAACTAGTCCTCAACCTTGTAGATTTTTTGCTACTGCTAAAAGTTTGTACCCCCCTGTAAAATGACTTCTTTTTACCGTGCATGCTGTATAAAAGCAATGTTTACAAAAAATGGCGGCCTTGACATACATAATAAACAGCATGTGATTTCTGGCCATGTTTTCGAATTTGCCAGTGATCATATTAGATGTCACAAAAACAAATTTTATGCTGAAAATGCATTTTAAAGACAACCAGTCATTTAAATCCAGAATATTCACTATATCCAAGAAATCCTTACATTACTGTGGTGTGCTACCATTTCGCTTGAGTATAGGGGCTCTGTCTAAAACGTTTTTCTTTTTCCAATACGGATGCAGACTGGGCAATATTGATTTTTCATTACAAGTTTTGATGTTGTTGAATCAGAGCCGGTGTTTTCTATTTGTTTTGTTTTTTTTTCTTAAGGAAAATCATCTGTCGATACTGTAGAGCTCTATCATCCTCTAATACCCTGTCTATGTGTAACAGGTGTGTCTAAAGTACAGAATAGAATAGAATAGAATAGAATAGAATAGAATAGAATAGAATAATTTTATTTCACCAATCAAGGGTCATACTATATGACATATATAATCACAAGCATAAAACACAAGGCATGAAACAAAATATATCAACCAACAAATTGTGTATTGTATGGTAGAAATGAAGACAATAAAGTAACTAAGGCTTAATTCGTATTAATTATTGGAAAAACAAATAACACAGGCATACTGTAGTAATGTTAAAATAAGAAGTAAACAAGAAATGCATTGATGCAAAGCATCAAAGGGCGTCCAAGCAAGAAAGGCAGCAAGTGAAGATGAACTAGTACACATATGATGACAAGATATTCTTATAAACTACCAGAAATGTATACCACTTATGAATGAGCGGACGAAAGACATTGTTCATTATGAACTTTGATTGGCATGCTAGAGATTAGAATATTACTTGTTATTTCTTTATGATCGTGGTAATTAATAGCAACGGATATACATGTATGCAATCATTTATAATCCATATGTGTAACGCATGATCAACACGTACCACACATTTGTCCCTTATTATGTACATGTTATCGCTATTAGCGAAGACCCCCTTAAGGTATCTGTTCACACTTTAAGTTAGTAAAAATATGACACTGGTTATATTACCATGTTGATCATGTTGAGCATAATTGTTTATTATACAATAATTGTAATATCTATTAATTTTAATTTTAAAAAAATACAAATTTTATGAATATTGTTTTCTTTTATTTTTTTTGTGTTTATGTGCTATTTTAATACTGAGTTTTTACTACTCTTTTTTATTAAAATTGTAAAATAAATTTTAAGAATTCAATTGTCATATTGACCGACGATTATAAGTCAAAGCTTAACTGGAAAAAGTCAGTAAATTATGGTTTATCTTTCAATATATAATATTGTTTATTCTTAAACCATGTACATGTACATTGTATTGTTCTTTATCATTTTTTAAATTATCGATCAATTGAATAATTCATAAAATCTAATTTGTAACTTTGAATAATTCCTCGGCATCTTTACTAAACACGGATAACAAATTGAATAATTAAATAAAATGTTTCAAAGTTGATAATGTCATTTTAATAACATAAAAAATGTACCTTTTTCTCAATTATTGTACATATCACGGATTTATATTACATATAAATCCGTGTACATATTTATTGTTTTTATCTCATATAGATAAAATGAAACATGCTATTGTTTTTTTTTCTAATTGTAACGATATCAAACATCTACTCCAAAACCGGGAGAGACCGGACAATATAACGTGTGGTACTATTCGCCGGTCACTAGTAAATCCTGGTCAAAATAGACCGGGAGAGACCGGCATTTACCGATAGGAGTGATAAAAAGATATATCTATAAATAGGTTTTTGGAATATTTAGGTCATCAACTGATCATTCTAGGATACATGTACAACAATAACATACCATGACATGATAACCGACTGTGTACTACAAAATGATAAATAAAAAACCCCGAAGAGCGCGATTTATTGACGGAAAAGGTTATTTCATTTGTAAATGTTTGCATTGCGAAAATTCATTGTAACATATCGCGACATTTCATTCTTATTTAATAATCAAGCACCCTCATACCGATCGGAATTTTCGGCTTTTATTATGACCGACTAAAAGGCTCGAGAAGTTGCTGTCGCCCTTTCACAAAATCTGATCTCATTCCATAAGAGCGCCGCGCCGCGCTTCGGCGCGGACGCCAATAAATAAATAAAACAGAAAATAAAAAAAAAAAAAAAAATAAAAAAAAATAAAAAAAAAACAACAACAACAACAACACTAATTACTCATTCGATATTCAAGTACAATAATATACATTCAATGGTCTGACAAATTTTTATTACTAATAGTACTACCTAACATAAGATTTCTTTTATTATAAATTTCGAGTAGGTATTTAGAAAAGACATTCAAGACTCTAGGGTCTTCCGAGGAAATTAACCAAACACATTTCTGCTTATTATTCAACATACAAAAGTTCTTATTTGATATTTCAATTTGTCTAAATAGTAGTTCTCTATTACTATCAAATTTTGTACAACACATGGAAAAATGAATTTCATCTTCTACAAGATTGGAAGAGCAACAGTTACAATACCTTTGATTTACTTGGATCTTTTTATATCTGCCTGTTTCTATATTCAATCTGTGTGCACTTACTCTAAACTTGGTGAAGAAAGTTCTTATATCTTTGTCCTTAATATGTCTAAAGTACACTTCTCTACAAAACCTTTGTTTAAACAAAGAGTATGTTCTAAGTTTCCCTTCAGTACCTGAGATATTCAAACACCAGTTGGTTTGGTACATTTTCACTAACTTGAGTTTAACAACATTTACTAAGTTCTTATTGGTTAAACCAGCATCAGATATAGTACCTAAATGCTTAAAACAATGTTGTACACAAGAAACCCAGCAAACTTTATTATCCGTAAATAATGTTTGACTTTCAATAAAGGCAGCAGATAGTAATTTGCTAACATTTCCATTTAGCAGTCTTTGATAAAACTTAACATAACTACATATTACATCAATAAATAGTGGATACCGTCCTAGTTCACCGCATACTGCCTCATTTGATGTTTTTTGTGTACACCCAGAATATATTTTAAAAATTTCACATCCATCTTATCACAGGACATATTTCCAAAGGATTTCAACCACACATAATCTGTTTTTTTAACAATAGAACTACTAATATTTGGTATACCCCAAATCTCACTACCATACAGAAGAATGGGTTTAATGGGTACATAAAGTGAGTAAAAGGGGTGTAAAAGAGCGTAAAGTGGAGTAAAGTAAATATCCAGTGTTTATTTTGTTAAAAATAGTTTACTTATTTAAGTAATACTGAGTTATCACTTGGATCATAAGATCCTTTTTATTCATACCGAATTCTCAACAAAAACTCTAAAATATAGGCGAGACCGGGATACCCTGTACATAGTTTTAGTTTCATCGCGAGAAACATGTCATTTGTATGTTAAGCTCGTACATTAAGCAAATTGAAAAAAAAATGGACAAAAAGAAGAAAAAAGGGATCCAATATATAAAAGTGTATTTTAAATAATTAATTATGAAGACATTGACATATTATTTTATTATTTATCGTCAATGTACACCGGACGCTTGTTTACAGTCCTTTTTGACGATCTCAAAACATTAAACCCCACAGATATATTAGTATAATGGGTATGTGTTTAAATATTGAAAGAATTTGTTGATACGCCAGATCCCACTTAATGCTAGTTGTCATTGACTTTACGCCACTTTACTTCTTTACGACACTTTACGTATTTTAGGCAGACGTTGGTAGTTGACTATAATCGAGAAGGAGGTAAATTATCCCCACTTTGTGCTTCAAAATTAACTCTTTAAGGGTATGACTGGTGACATGTCCGGGGTCCGTACTCGACAGCGAAAGCTGCATTTTGTGCCCGAAAGGACGGATGGACCCTCATTAAGCATTAACTAGAAGAAGAAGAAGAAAGAAATCATCGTATATAGTTTCTAATCACCGAGTATTCACATATTGGAAAAAATGACAATCTAAATTCTTTTATGAAAAACTGCTTTTTATCAATATTATACCATGATAATAAATCTTCATATATACGAAGTCTTAGGGTAGTCTAATATAATTAAATAAAAGCAAATGCTCGCTTATTTAATAATACATTTTTCGATGACGAGACACGTACAACATTTTATAAATACAGTATAATAATTATATTTAGCTCTTTCTAAATATTTCTCTGACGTGTTTATAAAATTATTAACCTTTTTGCGATAAAATTATTTTGGAATTCCCGACGCTATTAAAACTCTTTTGTTTAGATCGTCGAGTGTTCAGACGAAGTATAAATGTAAGGGTCACAGGAACTTGAAATTCTATCACTATTAACGATAATATGCAAAATATACCCCCTATATACTATAAAGTGTTTTTTTATAGTATATAGGGGGTATATTTGGATATTATAATTAATATTGGTTATTTGATAGAATTTCAAGTTCCTGTGGTAAGGGTGAACTTAAGGGAATTAAGGACAACTTCGGAAACTTAAGAAGTATATACATATGCACAGATATATAAACAATATTTAGCTCCATGACATATGTAAAATAAATTTTACATGTATTATAGTAAATTAGTACAATTTTGCCAAGGTGTACAACGTGAATGTATGGTTAACATAAATTGTCCTGTTTGCTTTTAACTTAAAGATAGAGTTCGATTTGTATTTTCTACGGTATGTCTCAGCATCGAGAGCAGAAAAACTTCAGAGTGAATGTGTCCGATGAACGACGATGTCCAATGTAAGCCGGATCGACTCTAATTGTCAAGGCGGTTATACGATTACAGATGGTGGATATGCACTTGTATGAGTGATGTCTTTATACACATTGTGTAAATCATAACACGTTTTATGTATCGCATATCCTGATCGAAGAGAGAGAACAATTCTGACAACTAACTGATTTTCAAATACTCTTCAAAAGTATTTTCGACATTGATATATAATTGCCGATGCGTTAAATTTTAATCACTCCCACCACGTTACAAATGGACGACATCACCAGAGTACGTATTCTACTTCGTTTTTTTTCCCCAAAAAAATCTGGAGAACATTAGGGCGTTTTCAGGTAAATAATAATGCATTTTTATTTGTATACTAGTATATTGCATGTATACATGTATTTTATATAAAAATTCATAAATTGCTAATTTGTTTCCGAGCTATAATTAATGTATACACGTACGTACCACAGTTAAGTAACGTGGGATGATGTTTAATGATTATCGGGTTTCATCACTTTTATTTTTGTGTCGCCACTATACAGAGTAGTGCAAAGTCTATAGCTGGGCATACTGTCGGCATTTTCCGGTTGAATATTTTTTGGCCGAGTTATGGCCCTTGAGTAAAGTTAAAGTTTGCACGGACT